TGGCTGTCTAGTTGGTGGAAGTTGTACACAGAATGTAGGCCATATTGCTGGCATAATTATTTCAGAAGCTAACGAGTGAGAGAGCATCTCTGATGCCTCTGTGAACCAGATTTTAGTTGTTGACAACAGGGCCTCATTCCTTTCTACATCCCTGGCCTGCAGGGCCCACTCTGTCTTCTTCCTTCTCATCCTGGTATGTGGTTGCAACTGAGTACAAGAAACCAAAAACCAAAACTAACCTAACCTAGCAAGTCTGGTCAGGTGTTTGGATACTCGGATATTCAAGTTCAGTTTTCAGTAGATATGCACTATTGGCTTCCTTCTGATTAAATTTGTTAAATAAATACTGACATTTATGCTTCAGTTTGCCATCATAAACGGGGCAAGTCTACAACAGCATAGGGGATACTTCAGAGTTTCTCTGTATCTTAGACCAAGAAGAACACGCAGACTTATACCTCCTTTAATACCTGTATTTCAGGAGAATATAGGAATTTCAGGAAAACGTAAATGGAGTTCTTAATTGGTGTAAGTAATAAAAACCCTGAGTCAGACATAGAGGAAAATACTGAGAGATCAGAAAGTAGGAGGAAGCCGCCGCACCTTACCTCCATCGCCGAGGCTCAGCAGATAAGAGGGAAAGTTCCTGTCTCTCCCTGCTTGTGTCCTGTTTCCACTCAGCTACTTCACTTCCTGTCTGTCTGTACAGACCTCCAGACTGCTATGGTTAGCTAGTGGCAAGCTTCAGACAGGCTTTATTTGTATAAGCAAGATATCACATGTGCGTGCATGCATGTGTGCCCTGCCTGCTTGCCTGCCTGCCTGTGCATACAAGAGGCATGTATAAGGCCAGAGGACAGCTTTCAAGAGGTGAGTCTTTACACTTTCCACTGTGATTGAACTCAGGTCCTTTGGTCTGCGCAAGTGCTCTCACCATCTGAATCATCGAGCCTGCCGGTTCCCTGGTATTTTGCAACAAGATGGCCCAGACTGCCCTCAACCTCATCATTTTCCTACCTCAACCTCTCAGTGTTGAGATCTGAAGAGTACACCAGCACATGGCCTTTCTTATGAAGTGTTTTAACATGGCTCCTGTAAATAGCTCCCACACTGTCTCCCTGTCTTTTAGTGATGTTACAAAAGAGGCCTTCAAAGCCCACAAGAGTAGATGGATTTATTGGGCCTTGACTGCAGAAAGCAAATGTGTCCCTGGCACCTATGGTCTGTGTCCACCTGACTCTGGCATTGTGTTATGACTTTGAGACTTGATCAAAATGCAGCAAGCAGGGCAGCTGTGGGCAAGGCTGGCTGCTGCAAGACATGTGTTCTTAATGTCAGCCTGCCAGCAACGCACTTTGTTCATTGTTGTGTGGACATGACTGTGACCCATGGGAACAATGAACAAGAAAGAAAGGGCCATCCGTCTTTGCAAGCTCATACTGAGCTTCCTAATCAACTCTACACAATTGTTATATTCATAGAAAGATTTCCTCAGTAAGTTTACTGCCTTTTCAGTGAAACTAATCAATTCATAAGACTGCCATTAAAAATATTTTAACAGACATGGTTTTTGTTTAGTTGCCAGAATGAGTTTCTGTCTGTCTGTCTGTCTGTCTGTCTGTCTGTCTGTCTGTCTGTCTGTCTATCTATCTATCTATCTATCTATCTATCTATCTATCTATCTATCTATCTATCTATCTATCTGGCCTCTTGTAGCCCAAGGCTGGCTGCAGACTTGTTAAGTAGCCAAGGATGGCTTTGAACTTCAGATCCTCCTGCTCTTTCCTCCTAAACTCAGCCTCTGTATCTGTTTAATGTTGTTTGAATCCAGGACTCCATGACTGGAAGGTCAAAAACTACTACTGAGCTACCTTCTCAGCAGCATCAGATTTTTTTGTTTTATTTTGTTTTGTTTTTCAGGGCAGGGTTTCTCTGTGTAACCCTGGTGTTGCCCTGGTTGTACTGGAATTTACTCTGTAGACTGGGCTGGCCTTGAACTAGGAGATTTGCCTGCCTCTACCTTCCAAGTGTTGGGATTAAAGGCATGCACCACCACTGCCTGGCTAGCTGACTTTTGTAAAAGTTTTTTTTTTTTTTTCTGTAATGTTGGTAAATGGAGTTTAAAATTTGGCATTATTGTTTAATGAGGGATGTATCTTTCATTTGGTTCTTTGGTCCTAAGAATGTTTTTTGTTTGGTTGTTGTTTTGAGATATGATCTTCGGTAGACCAGGCTGACCTTGAACTCACTAGGGATCTGACTCTGACCTTGACAGCCTGATCCTCTTGTCTCCACCTACCCAGTGCTGGGATTCCAGGCATGTGTCACCACACACTGCTTCTAAAATGCAAAGTATTAAAAGAAAGGAAGTGGACTTAAGCTCCACACATCTAAAGTTGCAGCTTTAGGCAAAAACTTATCTGTGACTATGAAACCAGACTTTGTACTAGAGGGAAACCTGAACACAAATTCTTTTCAGCATAACCTTTTGTTCTTTGTATATTCTGTGCCAAGTTACTAAACAAATAGAGGAACAAAAGCCATCTGGAGAAATCTGGATGAACGTCGCTGGGGTGACTTGGGCTGGTTTCTCTTCTACATGCAGAGCAGACAGAAGCTTCATTGCACACAGAATTACTGAAATGTGGGTTAATATTATAAAACCAGCGTGTCTCCATTGCAGGGACAAAAGCCCTCAAAATGGCTGTCAAAACTGCACCTGTACTTACAGTGGTACAGATAGTACCGACATTTTCAAATAAATTCTTTGTAATAGACTTGTTTAATGAGATTCAGTTTTGGAATATTTAGCTCATCAAATAATTCCTAAGGAGCTGGTATAAGAGACAAGGGCTCCAGAGCTGAAAATCTATTGGCTGACATTTTCAGTTATATGCCACATAGACATCCTGAACACACGTGTCTAAGAGTGAGCCATGAGCCGGGACGATGGCTCATGGCTATAATCTCAGGGGTCACAGGGATGTGGTGGGAGAATTCCATGCATCCAAGGCCAGCATGGGCTATTCCAGTTCAGCCTGAGCTACAAAGACTGTCTCAGATACTATTACAAAAGAACACCAGACTGTTTTCCCCTATTTCCCCTTCCTATCCATGTGTCCTACCACAGGAAATAGGTAATTACAAATATGTGATGGGATGTATGAGGGAGCTGTTTTTGGTGTAAGTATGTGATGTTCCCACAGACTCAAATGTTTGAGAACTCCAGTAAGTGATGTTGTTTTTCAAGGTATTAGAACCTTCGAAGGAGGCAGAACCTTGCTAGGGACTGTGGGTGTCTGGCCTTGAGATTTGACAGCCAGGCCCCACTCCCTGTCTAGCTATCTGCAGTGTGTCCAGCTAGCTCGCATTCTTGCTGCCATAACTTCCCCACTGAGATGGACTGTATCCCTGAAATCTGTAAGCCAAAATAAACCCACCCTTTTGAAACTGCTTATAAGGTATTTAAGCAAGGGGACTAATACAGAGCTGTAAAGTAGCTGAGGAAAATTGGATGGGTGTGGGAAATGTGTGTGACTAGAGTCACACTGAGGGGTTGGGAAGAGTAAGGAGCGGGGGAGATGGGTTCAGAAACAAGTAGATGTGAGAGTCATCTACACAGGCAATGAACTTCAGGGAGACGTATGCACTCCGAGTAACTAAGGAGGTAGAGATGGGAGGGAGGAGGCAAAGCTACTTAACACACAACCAGGAAAGGGCAGTGTCTAGAACTTCACTGATGACTGGGAAGGAACTGTTGGATCTGGTGCCTGTCAAGCACTTCAGAGAGATGCAAGATTGAGCAGAGTATGAGCCAGCTGAGGCAGCCTTCACTTGACCTGCTGTTACTCCTTGTGCAAGCGGCTGATGTCCCTCAATCCCAGCTTCCTCGGTTTTAAAACGACAGCATTCCCGAGACAGAGTCATGCTTCCTAAGAAGCTGATGTAAACACTTCCAATGAGTGAAGGAATAAAGGAATTACTTAGTACGCATTCCTTATTATTTCCATGGCCATGTGACTTAGAATGGACTCACTTCAAGATGGCTTGCTGTGAAAGAACATTCAGGAGCAGTTTACCTGGGTTGGGGGCAGAGTTATCCAGGATGGGATTTACAATAAAGGCTTCCTCTGGGGTTTTCATTTATACCCTGAAACACTAAGGAGACATGGACGGCGCTTGGTGCTTGACTTCCTGCCAGTTACTTTCTTTCCTTCTTATTTTAGGTTTTAATTTTTAAGAACTGGGTTATATAAGGCCATTTAAATGCAAATATGTAACATTCTGACAGTGATTTTTGTTTGGCTGAGTGTGAAAGTGCACTACATGCATACAGATGCCCACCAGGGTCAAAAGAGGATGTCAGATTCCTTGGAGCTGGAGTTACAGATGGCCATAAGCTACCATGTGGGTGCTGGGATCGAACCTGGGTTCTCTACAAGAACAGTAAAGCTCTTAACTGCTGAGCCACGTTTCCAGTTCCATTTTGACATTTTTAAGTAATTTTGTTTTTGCTTGTGCGTGTGTGTGTGTGTGTGTGTGTGTGTGTGTGTGTGTGTGTGTGTGTGTGTATACTGGCATTGCATATTCACGATATACATGTAGAGAGAGGTCAGAGGACAACTTGTATATGTCAGTTCTCTTCTTCTACCACAGGGTTCCTGGGGATAAAACTTGGGTTGTCAGGCTTGACATTAAGCATCTCCATCCTCAGACCTATCTCTCTGGTTCTGTAATTTTTTTGTTTGTTCTTTGGTTTTGAGACAGGGTTTCTTTGTGTAGTTCTGGCTGTCTTGGAACTCACTCTGTAGAACAGACTGGCCTGGAACTCAGAGATCCTCACCTGCCTCTACCTTTGGAATGTTGGGATTAAAGGCATTCTACTACCCCGACTCCTAGACAATGTCTCATGTTGTATCCCTGCCTGACTCCAAACAAATGAACAAACAAACAAGCATGCAAACAACAGCAACAACCAACAAAGCCAGCCGGAATTCATCTCAGGATTTAAACAATTAGTTTTTACTTGGTATAAGTTTACTGTTCAAAAATGATATTTACTAAAGCCACAATGTTGTTCATAAGGACAGAACTCTTATAGCAAAACCTTGATACACGAACATCAGTGATCTGGATACTAATTGGATATAGAAGCTATTCAAAAAAATGAAAATGATATTCAGAGAAAATGATACTCATAGGCACAATCTAGATGCTCCTATTGGTTCCAAAAGTGTCACGCTACAATATGACCCAAGGAACCGCAGAGTTCCCAGTGCTGTGCAGAGAAGAGAAGCCGAGGAGCGTCATTACTCACTTGAAAAAGCGTGAACTATCAAGACTAGAAAACCTGAGCGGAGCCAAACCACAAACAGTGCAAGAGGCAATAGTCTGGCTCTCTGGCCTTCATCTTTGAGGCTGGATAGCAATGGTGAGCCCAGTAGACAGAAAAGGACATCTTTAACAAGCATTCCAGCGGGTATGGGGCGTTGGAAAGTATGAGCGACTTTAAAACTGGAAAGCAAAGGCTGAGCTATTCTTGGAGCAGAGCTGTGAGGTATTAGAAAGCAAAATGAGGACTGTGTCCCCCTCCCGCCCTTTGGCTTCAGGATATGCAGACAGATGAGGGTTTTCAAGTGACGTATCAGGGAAGTATTTAACACAAAAAGTTAGAATTTCTTTCGTTTTTCAGTAACTGTAAAGGTGTTTGTTCTTCCCAGGACCAAGAAACCAAGTTTGGTCTTTGGACTTTTCCTGTGTGTGTATGTGTGTGTGTTTATAAAAGCATGGATTGAAATATGTATTCATGCTGACTAGATAGCCACACCGATAAAGATGAACATGTAAAAATTAAAAATAGAGTCATATTTTTTAGGGCACAAGAGTATTTTATCATATTAAAATTGTCTAGAAGGTAAAAACACACATGGTTGCTCTAAGGCTTCAGTTTGCAACTAGCAATTAAACCTAAGTAAAGACGTGAGCAGGGATTTTACTATCTGTTGTGGCATTCATGATAGGGTGGGACCAGAATTCTTTCTCCTTTAATTCTGCTGTGCTCACGTGGAACTAAAATCACACACAAATCATGATTAAATGTTAAATACTTCAAAATGCCCACAGAAGCGTACCAGAAGAGACACTGTTTCCACAGCACGGAGCTGCAGGGGGCTGACAGAGGGTGAGGATGAAATCTAGTTCCTAGTAGCTGCTTGCTTCTGTTTGTTTGCTAGAGGAGTCTCAGGGAAGGACAGCTCCTGGAAGTTAGGCCATGATTTCTGCGGGTTCGGTGACCAGCTTGGATCCGTCCCATACAGTCTTGAACTGCTCAGGAATGGGAAATTCTCTCTGGAAAAAGTTGAGAAGACAGAGTTATTTACATGAAAGGTTCCTTTTGCAAACAGGTAGAAGGCCGACAGATGTTGTCTGATAGGTAAAAGAAAATGCATCAAATCCCATCCCGCACCTTATAGAGGGCCCAGTCACTTGCAGACCCACGTGTTCTGTGACTGCATACTGGGGTCATCCTGGCAGTTGGTATTTACACAGAATCAGGCTTATTTTGATTTTGGAGACCGGGCTCACATTCCCAGGCTAGCTTTGAACTCATGTTCTTGAGTGAGGCTGACCTTCATTCAACCTCTGATGCCAAGTTTTGGGATTACAGGAGTGTGCCATGGGTTAATGTGCTCCTGGAGGTGGAAGCCAGGGCCTCATTCACGGTAGGTAAATACTACAACTGAGCTATACCCCGAGTCCTGAAGTAGGCATTATTATGAGAACCAGACACACAACTCAGGCAATCTCCAAAGATCTCATGAGCTCAGTGCTGCTGAGATGCTATCATCAGCTGGCTCGGGATGGCAGCACCAGTGAACAGAATAGCCACTGTATAAGGCCAGGCAGTGTCTCTTCACCATTGCTTCTCATCAAACCTGAACATACACGGAATCAGCCCGGGGTCTTATTAATTCTGATTTGGCAGGGCTGGGGAAGGGACTGGAAAGCTCTGGTCATCAAACTTTCAGGGGACATTAGAGTGAATGGAGCCCAGACTTTGTCTACTCTTTGAGACAATGTAAGATGTCTTTGGGTATGAGGACATGCACGTGCATATACACACTCATACACACACACACACAAACACACACACACACACACACACACACACACACACTCATGCCCCTCAGTTCTGGCTTCTGGATCTTCACTAGACTTCCTCTACGGTCTTGAGAAGTGATTTACTTGCTTCTCTTGCTGTAATAAGGAAAGAATTCTAGGACGAAAGCTTCAATGGAAAAATCAAATATTTTTGATACAGGGTCTTATGCTATGTAGCCCAGGCTGGCCTTGAACTCATGATTCTCCTACCCTAACCTCCCAAGTATTAAGATTACAAATGTACATTATGGTCTTTAGCCTATAATAGAAACATCTTGAGTGAGTTAATGCATGTGTGTATCTGGTACCACTTGTGACACTCTTTCTCAAGTGTAAACAAAGCTTTGTGTTTGTTCTCAAGTGGAACAGCTTGAGAAGAGACCTAGAGCCAGGGATGGAGCCCAGGGTATACTGTATGCTAGGTACATGCCCAGTCATGAAGGGGCCTCTTTGACAGTAAGGTGATGTAGCATCAAAGAGACTGGTACACCCATCACTCTTCTCTGGGAGCTTGGTTTCTATCAGGATGAAGCATGTCCATTGTCTATTCCATCATTCTGACACCCAAAGCAGGGTCTTCATTCCTCCCTCCCGTGTCCTGCTGGAAAATGTGTAAAGAGGTCCAATGACTCGAGGTACCCAAATAGGCAAGCCTACCTTTTAGTACAAAAGCTTAAGCCTTGATTATAGTCATTCTCTAGGCTGATGGGTCTCACTCTGGGCTCCATACTGGAATCCATCTGGGCATCTTTAACAATTACAGATGCCTGGTAGCAAGCTTAATGAGTTCGATGTGCTCATCCAAACCTCACTGCTCATCTGTTTAGTTGATCCGGTTCCCATACAGATGAACATTCTGCTTAAACAGCTACAAGGACCAGGGATGGCCCACCATATGTACGGCTGACCCACTCTGCTGCCCTACTCTATCTGTATTGGCTGAGGACCCAAGGGAATGCTTGTCCAGCTCAAGGTCAGAGTCTCTGTACCCAAAGTGGTGAATCAATGCCCACTGTCTGTAGAGTACCGTGATGGGAACACAAATGAGGGACTCTAGGCGGTAGCATGTGGTATGTGTGGGTAGAGTTGAGGAAAGCACCGATGGGTGTGGAGAGTCTCTGCTTAAGGAAATCAACCTGTCTGTTGACTGCTCTCGAGATAACTGCTAACTGACCCATCTGGCTGGTGTGGCCCCTCTCCTAAAAGCATGCCTGTTAAAGCTCTTGATTTGCTGCCTCCTCCTGCCCCGCACAGAATTCTCCATGTGTTCATTCAGCTACTACTTCCGTGCAGTAACAACCAGCAGAGATGCCATATTTCAGAATTCAAAAAATGAGATTTATTCAAGCTCACTCAACTTTAACATGTGAGGTGAGGATTTTTTTTTTTTTTTTTTTTTTTTTTTACTTAAAGCTGCTTCATTGGGGGAGATGTAAAGAAAGGAAATTCTGGCTGAATTACTTGGGCTAGTGTTTCTGAATGAGGATTGGTAGTATGAGAAGATACTTGGGAGCCCGCTAAGATACATGATTCTGGAGCTGGGGAGATGGACAAGGTGCTTATCTGTCTAAGCAGGAGGATGTGGTGATATTTATGATTTAATAAACCTTGCCTGAACTATCAGGATGCAAAGCCAGCCACACTAGATAGCTGTAGAAGCTAGACACTGGTGGTACACACCTTTAATATGAGGACTCAGGGGACAGAGGTAGATGGATCTCTATTAGCTCAAGGCCACACTGAGCTACATGAAATCGATCCAGTCTAAAAGAGAAACAGAGCTCACATAAAGGAGATCCCAGCTCCTGGGATCCCATGCCTTTAATCCCAGGATTTGGGAGGTGTAAAAGGAAGAACCCTAGTCTTGTGTGAGATTTATTCTCCAGCCACACTGAGGACAGAGGTAGAGGTAAGAGCTAGTGGCCAGCTGCTTTTCTTTCTTGATCTTTCAGCTTGAACCCAAATATCTGCCTCTGACCTAAGTTTGAACCCCCAAAACACATACATAAAGCAGATGCTATATTGCATGCCTGCAATCTAAGCCCTTCGGTGATGAGAGGAGAGAGGATAACCCAAAGCATCTTAGAAGTGTAGCTTAGACAGTGGTGGACAACAAGAAACCCAGTCTCAAATAAGGGGGAAGGCAAGTCTGACCCCTGAGGTTTTCCTATGACCGGCACGTCATAGGAAATCCCAAGCCAGATCCCAAGCTCCATTGTGAGGCTCCTGAATTCTAGGTTTTTCCAGGGTTGGGAGCCCAACTTTCCACCGAGCTTCCACCGACCATGACATGTTTGGTTTCAGTGCACAGAAACATGTGGTGATATATTATTTATGATTTAATAAAGCTTGCCTGAGGGTTCAGGATACAAAGCCAACCACATTAGTTAGCTATAGAAGCCAGGCAGTGGTAGCCCATATCCTTAATCCCAGGATTCAGGAGACAGAGGTAGATGGATCTCCCTGAGTTCAAGGCTACCCTGGCCTACACAAGAGCGAATCAGTCTAAAAGAGAATTAGAGCTCATGCCTTTAATCCCAGTTCTAGAGAGGTATATAAAAGACAGGAGCCCAGTGTCCCAGGCTGCACTCTGAGATTTAGTCCCCAGCCATGCTGAGGAGAGGCAGCAGTGATGCTTGGTGGAGAGATCCTGGAGACGGGATCGCCCCTTTTGATCTGCGGTAGAGGTGAGAGCTAGTGGCTGGCTGCTTTGCTTCTCTGATCTTCAGCTTGGAGCTTGAACCCCAACATCAGTCTACGGGCTTTCATTTCTTGTGTTACAAGAAACTGTTCTGACTGTTACAAGAACAGTACTGACTGTTCATTCTCCTCCCTCCCTTGAAACCCCCAGAGCATCTCATTTGTTTACCTCCATCAGAGAAAAGGGAAACACATAGTCCTTCCTACATAAAAGGAAAGCAGATGCAAAGAGCCAGCTCATGCTAGTAACGATTAGCAAAGTGTCTCCAGATGCCACTACAGGAGCTAACAGTGCAGGGGCCACATGGAAGGTGTTCCCAATTCCCTCACCTGCCTGTGAAGTTGTCTACAGACGGAGCTCATTAGACGGTAGCTGACGAGCTAACGTGAGCGAGCCGCAGGATGTTTCTGGACAGGCTTTTGGAAGGTACTTACATAATCGTCACCTTGAGGGATCAGGACGTTCATCTCAGACGACTTGGCACTCACGATCTCACAGTCCAGTGCATCTTCACTGAGGTACAGGTGGCAGCCTTCTGTCTTATTAATGGAAATTGTTGGCACTCTCCCCATTACCTGAAAGAAGTGGGTTGTGTGTGTGTGTGTGGGCAGAGACCAGAGCAACAAAATAAAAACGACCATGTACCCAAGCAGAGACTCTCCTGTATTCCTCCAGCTGTAGCCTGAGTTCAGCTAAGCTAAGTTTGAGGACTCACTGGGACAGTATGTGACGTGTGTGTGTGTGTGTGTGTGTGTGTGTGTGTGTGTGTGTGTTTGTGTGTGTGTATGTGTGTGTTTGTGTATGTGTGTGTGTTCGTGTGAGCAGGATAGGTGTCATTTGGGGAGAAAATGAAAGGACTATACAGGAGGGAATCTTTTTCTTGAGATAAAATTAAAAGATTAAGTTGGAGGCAGCAGCTACCATGTTCATAAAAGCCTCACAACCTGGTTAGTGAATCTGAGATGCATATCCGATTTCACCATAAGAGGGACAGGATTCATTTGCTTAAAAATTTAAGTTTTGACAGTTATCTGTGAGACTGGGCCTGAAACAAACATCCATGCAGACGCTACACAATTAAGGCTGATTTTGAATGGAAGCCAAGTAGATTGTTCTCGAACTTCAGAATAAGGAAGAAACCCTACCACTCTTCTCACGTAAGTCATTTGCCAGCTAAGACTCTCAGGGCTGGAGGTGAAGCTTGTATGAGAAAGATTTCGAAATGTATTCGTTTCAAGCTCAAACGGAGGACATTCCCACAGATAATCAGGACCCTGTGCAACAGGGGACAGCGCTTTGTACTGTTTACAAATATCTAAGGCCAGTAAAAATGCAGGTCAGTTTTAAGTTTCTCCTCCAACAATCAGTGTCCAGACCTGCCCCCAACCCCGCAGGGATATATGGTTCTCCCAAAGACCTTATTAGAACTCTAGAAGTTTCCTTCTTGTCATGGTAATTAAAGTAATAAAGACATCTCTCCTTTCAACCCTAAGAAAAGGCTAGTCTGAAAACTAAAGGAACAAATCCTGTTGGTGGTGTAGGTGCCCTAGTGAATTCCTTGGTGGGGGGGTTGGGGGAAACGTCTAGCTATGTCACCATGCATCTATCTCTTCTTCTCTCGACCCATAGAAACTGGATACTGAGTTGGAATTGAACCCCAGGCTTAGAGAAAGGTAAAGAGAGCTGGGTAGCTCAAGGTCAGGTAAGTACAGGCAAGGCTCTGCCTAAAATAAAATAAAATAGTGTGTGCGCACAAATGCCCGTGTGTGTGTGTGTGTGTGTGTGTGTGTGTGTGTGTGTGTGCGTGTGTTTTAAAAATGGGCCAGTAGTCATGTTTTGGCGATCTGCTTATGTTCTAATGATGAAAAGCATTATATTTACATGCCAGCCCTGAACACTACGAATATCACCAGCCAAGCAAAGGAAAGCGATGAACTGTCAGTTTGACCTAAAGGACTGGTTTATAAGTATTATTTCTTCCTAATAATTTAAAAAGTTTCTGCTCACCATTGTTGTCTATCTTCCCCAATCTGTATGTTTTCCTAGAACATTTGGCCAAAAATAGGATTACTAGGCCATATTACATGAACGTTAGCTTTTTCCTTCTTTAAAAAACAACATTGTAGTAAAATCTGAAAATATACAGTAACTCACCCATTTTAAGTGTACAATTGGATGCTATTTCATAAATGTACAGAGTTGTGCAATCGGGACTACAAGCCACTTTCAGAATAGTTTCACCATTCTAAAAATATCGCTAATGGCCACTTACAGGCGGTTCCCATCTCAGCCCTAGGCAGGTAACCTGGTTTCTGCTTCAACCGTACCAGGCCCTTTTGAAACAATTTACTAGGCACTTTAACTAGGCAACATAACTCCCTTGGTTTGAACAGCCAAAACTTCACTAAGTGTTCAATCAAATGTCTTGCTCTTGTCTGTGAATTGCTCTTTTTATCTCCCTACACCCAGAACCCATGGTTCGTCCTGCTAGAAGCGACTGTTCACGGCATAGGTTCGTATCCTTAACGACAGTTCACGATTTTTCAGGCATGGAAACAAAGAACAATAGATGCATACACTTCCTGCTTTATCAGCATTTCATTTTAGCTTATTCCCTTTTTGGTGTTTGTGAAAATTTCTTTCCTTCTTTCCTTCCTTCGTCCTTTCCCGCCTTCCAACTAACTGGTCCTATGTGGCCTAGATGGGCGTTGAACTCACTACGGGGACCAAGGATGGCTTTGAATTGCTAACCCTTGTGTCTCTAGCTCCCGAGTGCTGCAGGCACAGGAGTGCACTATTATACCTGTTTTATTGCGTTGGCTTGTTTGTTTTTGAGACAGGGTCTCACTATGCAGCCCTAGCTAGCCCGGAATTTGCTATACAGATCAAGCTGGCTTCTAGCTACAAGGGGTCCTCCCAAGTGGTGGGATTACAGCTGTGTAGCCCACACTCAACTTCAGTTTTGTTTTGTTTTCTCCCCAAGAACTAAAATCTCACAGTACCACTCAAGTCCCCCGGACTTCCACACCTCACTTCCCCTCACTTCCTCCTCATCCCTCCCCTACCGGATGGGACAACCTCCTAGTTGTTTTCATTTTTGCTTATGAGCTGTCTATTGGGTGAAATGCCCAGGGCGCCACCTTGACCTGTCATGTTGAGTTGATTTGCACACTCTAACATGTTTTAATGAATAAGTGTATCACATAGTACCTGCCATCCTGTAACTCACCCTTTTGCTTACTGCCTATTTTTATTTGCTTGCTTGAAATTCACCTACTTTTCTACGCCTGCAGGTATAGTTCACTCACTTTAACTGTTGAATGGTGTTCAAATAGAAAGGTTTGTTTATTAATTTGCCAGTTGGTGGACACAATTATGTTTTGTTTTCTCATTGCCATTACCACAACACCACAATCCATGCTTTCCATGTTTCCTCAGCCATTACTGTACGGACATAAGCACACAATGACTCAGCCACAGGCTATGGGTGTGGCATGGGTACATGGTGCCAATTTGTCGTGTGGTGAGTGTGCCAGGTTCACTGCCACCTGGATTTAGCAGCTGGGATCCATGGCAGCTGGGAACAGCAGACATTTTAGCATACACCTAGTCTTGTGCTTGCAGCTCCCTTACACACTGGATTTTGTGGATGAGGCACATTGCAGGCTGGGGACGTTCTGAACGTAACAGAGGAGTGTGGAAAATGAATCTGTGACTGAGGTGTTCATTTACACCCTTCCTTCTGTCAGGCAGGCTAGTGTAGCATCTTCACATGTGTGTGTCAACCACTTCGCTTTCTGGGGGGGGGAGGAGGAGGGGTGGCTTGTTTTGTTTTTGGTGTTTCAAGACAGGGTCTCTCTGTGTAGCCTTGGCTATCCTGGAACTCACTCTCTAGACCAGGCTGGCCTCGAACTCAGAGATCTGCTGCCTCTGCCTCCTGAGGGCTAGGATTAAAGGTGTTTGCCACCACCGCCTGGCACCAATTCATTTTTTTATGTTTCTGAATTGTTAATATTCTGTTTGTTTTTCTATTAGAGTAGTAGTCTCACTTTCTGGTCTCTGTTAGTATTTTTACGCACTGGATGCAAAATCTTTTTTATTATCTACATTGTGAATATCTTTTCTCAATCTATAGCTGGCCTTTCAGCTTTGCATTATAACTTCTGTTGAATATATATTAAGGAAATTGTGGTGTGTGTGTGTGTGTGTGTGTGTGTGTGTGTGTGTGTGTGTGTGTGTTTTACTGGAGATTTCACTTAGGAGCTCACCTGTGCTATGCAAACAGTTCACCAATGAACACAATCCCCATCCCAGAATGTTAACTTTAATAGGTTTAGATTAACCAGCTGTTTTCTTTATGGTTTGTGGTTTTGAATCCTAAATTAATGTCGTACCATGAAGTCATAGCATTTTCTTTTCCCTTGTTATTATAAGTGTTACAAATGATTTCATTCCTAAATTAGAACCTTACCTTTATGTATGGCATGAGGTTGGGATTCAGGGGTTGTTTCATTTTTAATTATTCCTTTTAAAAATTTATATGTGTATGGGTGTTTTGCCTGCATGTGTCTCTGGGTCTGCAGTGCCTGCAGAGGCCAGAAGAGGGCGTCAGATCCCAAAACTGGAATTACAGATGGTTGTGAGCCAGAACCAAGTGCTAGGAACTACATCTGGGTGTCCTGGAAGAGCAGACAGTGCATTTAACTGCTAAGCCATCTCTATTGTTTTCCCACACAAACAACCAACTGTTCTAAAGTCCATTTCAGTGTATATACCTGCCTACTTCTGGGTTGGTTAGCCTTTATTTTTTTTAATATCTCCAACCATGTAAAACCTTAGAATTAGTCAATTCCCCTTGTTCATCTACATGGTCTCTCTGTGCCTAGCTATACTGGAACTTGCTCTACAGGCCAGGCTGACCTCAAACTCACAGAAATCCACCTGCCTCTGCCTCCCAAGTGCTGGGATGAAAGGCGCGCACCTACTCTGCCCGGCTTTATTTTGCTTTTGAATTATGTGCACCACACATATGTGCGGGTTTGTGCACGTGAGTGCAATACCTGTGGGGGTCAGGAGAGCATAGGTTACAGGCAGTTGGGAGCAGCTTAGCCTGGTGCCTCAGAGGAACCAAATTCAGGTCCTCCGCAAGAGCAGCGTTCGCTCTGTACCATCTAGCTTTATTCTTTTTGTTCACTTAGCTTCCAAATGAATTTCGAGGTTTTTTGTTTTCAAATAAAAAAAAACCTTGTTGAAATATTTGAGCTTTGCTGGACTTACAGATGAGAGAGAGAGAGAGAGACAGAGAGAGGATATACTGGTGTCCTTTTGCACATCTAACTTGCAACTGTTCTGTGTTTTTTTTATAAATGTCTTCATTGGTTTTGTTAAGGCATTACTTGGCCCCCTTTAGTTTTGTTGCCATTATGAATTTTAGTTTGCACCCTTTAGTTTAGTTTAGTTTTAGTTTGCATTATATTTCCTAATGCTTATCTGTGGTGTCAAGAAATGATGTTGATTTTCCCCCCATTGACAGTAGTCCTAACTGTCTTGCTGTATATTTCTTTAGCTTATTGAGTCTCTTGGCTTTTACGTAAAACAATCATTTCACTGTTGCATAAAGACTTTTTTAGGTCCTGCTTTCCATTTTATTTCTCTTGGTTATTTTTCTTATCTTATTGCAGGAGTTAGGACCTTTTAATGCACGATGGAGGTAAGTAAGGACAGGAAGAAAACCCTTGTTTTTGGTGTCAATGGCATTTCTTGTAAATGAAAGGTGGCCTTTGCTGTAGGATTTCAGGAGAGACCCTTTATTTGGTTACAGCGTGTGGTGTAAACTCCCCTTTCCCTGGGATTGTCAGACCTGTATGTACAGCTGGCATTCCTACCAGCTTCAGGAAGTCCAATCAGGGCTGTCTCCACACAATGGGCACAAACAACACCAGCTTCTTACGCAACAAGGTAAATATACAGATGTGATCTGTACAGTTAAATGAGTTCTAATTAATAGTGTGAATGGAGAGGAGCCCAGGAAAGAGAAAGATTTATAAAACTGAAATCTAATTTTGTCAATCATCAGGAGGAAACACCAGATTGTAAAGGGTAATTAACAATATGCCAATAGTATGATCAATGAGGAAAGGTTGGACTTGGCCCAAAGTCAGAAGTCTGTAGATTTTATATGTTGTAAAAGCCTATTTAATAAAATCAAAATTACTAAAGGAGCACAGATTTTTCTCTCGCTTCTGAAAGTTCAATTCTAATCCTACTGCCAGGGCTGTTTTTCTGATTATCTCACAGATTCTATACCTTCCCCCCTTCTTCCTCAGGGCCCTTTGCCTGGGCAAAATTCTCTTTAGCAAGGGACTGTTATCATCCTAGGACAGACTCTCAATACCCTTTATTCATATAATGGCTGACTCACCCAATCATGTGTTCAGCAACATTTATGGGTCCATATGGTACTCAGGTGCTATATGTCTTTAGAACTGTAAAGGTTGCATAACTGGCTTCACTTTTTTTTTTTCTTAGTGCTGTGGATAGAACCCAAAGTCTTATGTGTGCTTGTGCAGTGGGCCACTGGCCACTGAGCTATGTCCCCAGCTTACTAGCCATCGGTGAGATGGAGAGGGTAAGACACATGTTTGCAGTACAAAATGGCTGGTGGGGGGAGACAGATTAACGGTGATCAAGAATAAAGACAGAGCTCCTCCCAAAGAGGTGACGATGGAGCTGTGTTTAGAAAGGATGGGAATTAGATGTTGTCTGGGTGGGCAGGAGGAACAAGTCCCTTGTTTTGTCCTCTGCTGGAGGATGAGCGGTTCATGCAAAGCCAAGACAGCACAGAGCATGTCTGTAGATGCTGCTCACCTGGATCTGAATGTCCTTGGAGTTGATCACTTCCACAATGCCCACCACGTTGTCAAACACCAGGCCAAATTTCTTGCAATTATCTACAAGGGAAAAAGAAAACTCCAGTAAATGCACATGGCATGTTTCTGTAGCACAGCTCATTACAGCAAACACACAGCCTCAGTTTTGCCTACCAACAGTGATGGAATTTATTTTTCCCTTTATCTGAAGAGTGGATTTTTCACATTTGAAAATGTAAGCCACTTGTTTCAGCTCAGTCTCTGAGATGACAAGGTCATTCTTGTCCTCTTGGTATTCCTAGAAGTAAAGCGGGCATGGTTATGAAACATAAACAGAAAGATAGACTGAATCCATTGAGTTCTGGCATTGCTAGAGGTTTCAACAGAATTCGTGCCTTCCAGTGTGTTTTCTTCCAGAACATTATCCTTGTGGAGAAACCTCCAGGTGTTAACTGTTGATTATGATCATGGGAGTTGGTGAACCATAGCTTGGAAGTGGCTATCGGTTTGCCAAGAGTCAGATGTTAGCAGTACTGCGTATAGGGCAGGGCTGGAACAGGGATGTGGTTGCTATGGAGACTTGGATGCTGATGCTGTATCAGACCCTGCTGTGTCTATTGGGAGATGGGACTGGTGATGTCTGAACAGTGGTCTAAGCTCCAGTGTCTATTCAGGCTCTGGCAACTTTTCTAGGGACTTTCTGTTCCTTAATCTTTAAGGAAGCTCTCTGGGTCAGTAGTGGACTCCAGCTACTGTCCACATTCAAAGCTTCTATGGCCTGCTCATACGATTAACCCTGAGAATGGTGGGCAGCAGCAGTGGCTTATTCTTATGAACGAAACAATCAGCCAAGCACCACAGGCACAGACTCCTATGGCCACATGTTGATGATGGCTTCTCCCCTGTCTACTGAAATCAGTAGTCATATTCATAGAAAGGAAGCATACTAGCAGTGAGTAGGGCCTATAAGGTTAGAGTTCTGCAAGAAAGAGAGTACAGTGTAAACATACCCAGCACCATAGGAATGTGCACTTAGAGACAGTTAATCGTAAATGTTATGTGCATTTTGTTTTTAACCACAGTTAAAAATAGTTCTAAGAAAGTAGAAGGAAAGAATGCATGGGAACTACTGAAAAGCAATCTTCAAGCCTGCAGAAATACCTGGGTGTGTTTCATCTTGGCATTTCACCTAGAAATCCCTGTGTCTTTGGGAGGTGGTTTTAGCTGTTTAGGTGAAGTCAGTTTTAGCCGAGTGAATCAGAGAAAATGTTAAAGGACTTCACTCACCACTCTCCATTTCTTCCCTTCCAGCTCCAACACTGGGGCGTGTTTCTGGGGAGAATTTGATTTTGGAGATGTAGGGCTTGGATTGTGGGTTTTGGTTGGCGATCGAGTTTGTCCTTGAGCCCTCAGGCTGGGGTTCTTGTATATCTTCTGGTCCTCTGTGACATGCCGGAGCCCTAGGAATGTGGGACAACTGGTTAGTTTAAATTGTCAACTTATCCTAAGCTAGAATCACCTGGGAAGAGAATCTCAACAAGGGACGGTCTTGATTGCAGATCAGGTTAGCCTGTGGACATGTCACATGTCTGTGGGAGAGTGCCTTGATTTCCTTGGCTGATATGGGAACAGTGGCACCAAATGGGTGGCACCAAAACCATTTCCTGGTTTTGGACCTTGGACTATCTAAGAGTAGAGAAAACCAGCTGTTTACTAAGCATCTGTGTGTTTACTCTCTCTCTCTCTCTGCTCTTGACTTGGATGTGACTAGTTGCTTTTAAGTTCTTGCCTTGACTTCTCCACAATGAGGGGCTGTAACCTGGCCTCCTAAGCTAAATAAATCTCCTTCATCAAAGTCACTGTCACCAGGACATTTTATAACAACAATAGAAGAGAAGCTAAAACAGAGGGTGGCACAATAGAGGCACATTTCTTCCCATCTCATGAAAAAGTATAAGAACTTTTGGTATCACTGTTCTCATTAACATGCCATTGCTCAAGGTCAACATGCAGAGGCTGCATTCTGTGTGAGTTAAGACTGAAAGAAAATTCAGCATTGTTGTTTGTATGTAAATGTCCTTCAAGGCCCATGGAAAATGTAGTCTCCAGATCATGGTGCTTTTTGGGGGGTTATGGGAGCACTGTGAAACCTTTAGGTTTGATTGAAAGTTGCTGAGGTGAATCCTTGCTGGAAGATGTGGGTCATGGAACAGGCCTTGCAGTTTCATAGCCTGGCGCTATTTCCTGTCTACTTTCTACTTCCTGTTTTACCAAAATGTGAGGAGGTGAAGGGTCAATTCAGCTGGATTTAGAATCACCTAGGAGACACAACTCTAGACATGTGCAAGAGTAAATTTCCAGAGAGGCTTAACTGAACAGAGAAGACTCACCTTGAGGTGGGTGGCCCTGTGCAATGGGCTGGGGCCTCAGACTCAACTAAAGGGACAATGTGAGCTGAACACCAGTGTCCCTGCCCTCTGCTTCCTGACCCACTATGATGGGAGCAAGTAGTTCTGTGTTCCTGCAGCCATGCCTTTCCCTTTGATGGCACACTGTGAGCCCAAAAAGGGTCCTTCCTTGAGGTACTTTTGTGAAAAATTTTATCACAGTCATATGAAAAGTAACTAACACAATGAAGATGACAACCTCAGCAAAAAAGCAAACAAAAATCCCTACAAATCCTCAAGCCATCATACTCCCAAAGACTTCTTGGCTTACTCACAGCCATATAATTTGCTAGGTGGGGTTTAAAAGGTGATGATACTCTAGTAGGCATTTCTCAGAATTCGGAGCCAGCTTTAGAGTTAGAAGCTCATTCCTTTACTTTGCAAGTGAGTTTCGAAGGCATCAGTAAAGCAGGTCTGAGCCAGGGCTAAGTCTGGAAAGTTTGAGTTCTTAGCTCTCAGCCTCATGTAGAGAGTCACTTACACCCTCAATGCTATAAATTGTGCAAAAAAAAAGAAAAAGAAAAAAAGAAAATACTGGCAACACCGACTATATTGTTTAGCATGTGTGTACTTTTGATCCTGATAAATATTAAATTTTAAAATTTGTATTTAAAAAAATCAACTACTTGCCATATTGTAGAATGTGGGGGGTACCATTTAGCATTTTCATTTCATTTTGATCTTGATGACTTAGTTTTGAAGGGTGGTGGGGAAGCCCCGGGGTTGAGCTGGTACTGTTACAGGATTTCCTGCCCGGCTCTGCAGCCGCCTTGCCCCAAATGAACACGCAGATGCTACGTTAATTATGAAACTGTTGGCCGGTGGCTTGGTCTTCTTATTGGCTAGCTCTGCCTTAATTATTAACCTATAACTACTAATCTATGTATTTCTACATGGTCTTATCTTACCGCCTGACTTGCTTCCTTTCTTTCTGAGCTCAAATGACGGCTACTTTCTGCCTATACTTCCCAGAATTCTCCTCGTCTGCTAGCCCCACCTATCCTTCCTGCCCGACCACTAGCCCAACAGTGCTTTATTCATTAGCCAATAAGAGAAACCTATGTACAGAAGGGCATCTCCCACCAGGGTAGCACTCATTGGTCAACTGAGAACAGAGTCTGTGAGTTCTTCTTGACGGTCCATGTGGCACCCCATGGAGCCCACGTCCCTGGAGCTCCCACCTCCCAAAGGCAGATCTTTCTCCCTGTGTCCTAATGCGGGGTGGGATGCTGTGTATTTCACCTGGGCCTAGAGTCAGAGGGAAAGGGAACCTGCTTCAAGGATTTATCTTCTTACCTTTTGTGATGGCTTCTCCCTGGTTCAGCTGGGCGAATAAAGCTGAGCGAGAAGGAGAAGACTCTTCATTTTTACCCTCATTCTCAAAAAGTGGAGGCGGCCCAGGAGGAGGTGGTGGTGGAGGTGGTGGTGGGAGACCAGGCCCAGAGGAGAGGACGGAAAACGCGGATGCCGTGGGTGCTACAGGGCCCTGTGGGAGACAGACGATGGGGGCTTGTCTGAGACTGAAAGTCTGGCTGGAATTCTGTCGGGGTCAAGACTCTTAAGCAGGGTCCCACTGGCAGAACAAGCACGGTGAGCCTGTTTGAAGGGCCCTGGATCAGGGTGGGATTTATGCTGGGTGCATATAGTATGTCAGGCGGGCCCTATATACTTAGGAATGCCATTGCCAGGTCTTCAGCAAACACCCACAGTCCCAAGTTCATGCCCAAGGCCCTGGATAAGAATGGAACCAGCCTTGATGACCAGAATCATGAGAAAAGGTGGTTGAAAGGATAAGAAAGGTAACTTTTTGTGGATAGTAGTGGAAACCACAGCCAAAGGAGGGGTGGGGTGGGAGAGCAAACATTTTTTTTTTTTTTTTTTAAGCACTTCTGAGTAGCTAAAGATAGACTGAACTTCTCTGGAACTCACTTCACAATTGTGCATGCCTCAACCAATGACAAACAAAGGCCATCTGTGACCTGGCTGATTGTCAGATCCAGAGGTAGAAGGCACCTGGAACCCTCTGATTGCGCTGCAAATACCAGGATTGACAGGCCACTAGAAACCAGACCCTTAGCCAAGGCCAGCATGCATCCTCACTTTCTCCATTGAATGGCATGCAGCCTGTGGCTCAAAGGTCTGACAAATTCAAATGGTAGGACCAGGAGATACAAAGGAGGGGTCTTCTTGTCACTGTGATGGCTCGTCTTCATTGACATGGTATAGAATCCCCATGAAAACACACCTCCGACTGTGTCTTTGAGGATAATCCCAGCAAGATTTAGCTGAGAAGGGAATACCAACCCCAGGGGCTGGCAGGACTAAGTGAAGAGGAGCCGAGAACCAGCATTTGTCTTTCTGCCTCCTGACTACAGTAGCATGTGACCTTCTACGTCACATTCCTGCGGCCATGCCTTCTCCACTGTCATGGGTTGTGTCCTCAAGCTGTGAGCCATATCAGTCCCTTGTCCCTTAAGCTGCTTCTTGTCCCAGCAATTCGAAAAGCACCTGATATAGACCCCACTGATGATATTCTCACGGGACTTTGTTTGTTTTTTATTTATTTATTTATTTTTGACACAGGGTTTCCCTGTGTAGCCCTGGCTGTCCTGGAACTCACTCTATAGACCAGGTTGGTCTCAAACTCACGGAGATCCACCTGCCCAGCCTCTGAGGACTTAAAACCAGTTTGATAGAAACTTAAATATACTACCAACATAAGATGCATATGCCATTATATTTTTATTTTTCATGTCTTCGTTACTGTTCTACTGCCGTGAAGGGACACTATGCCCAAGACAACTCTTAGGAAGGAAAGCATTTAATTGGGGTTCGCTTGCAGTTTTGTTGGGTTAGTCCATCTCCCTCCTGGTGGGGAGGATGGTGGCGGCAGGCAGGCAGGCAGGCTTTGTGCTAGAGCAGTAGCTAAGAACTTACATCCTGGTCCAGAGGCAGCAGGCAGAGAGTGAGACTAGGCCTGCTGCCATGAACCTCAGAGTTCAGCCCCAGTGACACACCTCCTCCAAAAGGCCACAGCCTTCCTAACCCTTCCTAAATAGTTTACCCAATGGGAACCAGACATTTATACCTGCAAGGCTATGAGGGCCATTCTCTCCCACATTTAATATATACTTTTTATTTTTATGCATATGAATGTATATGTGTTTGTTTGGGTATATGTAGTAGGTGTGTGGGTGTCTGCTGATCTAAGTTTCCTTGAACCTGGAGTTATAGTCAGTTGTGAACTGCTTGACACAGTGCTAGGAATCGAACTCAGGTCTGGAAGGACAGCAAGTGCTCTTTGGATGGAGCCATCTCTTTTTCACACCTACGAGAAGGAATTAGGAGCCGGTTAAATTTTAAAGAGGCAGAGCCAGGGGTAACGGGCCATATCAGGAATTTCATTACTCAGGCACTGAGGCAGGAGAATGACTAGTTTTAGACAACCCTGGGCTTACTGTATGGCGACGAGTTTGGAACACATAGTGAGACCCTGTTTTAAAATAAGATGTAATGGTAAACTAAGAAATTGGGAGAAACAGAACAGTTTATGTGTTTTCACTACCAAATACAAAGATTGAAACATTATATAAGTACCAAATGCTAATGAGAATGGCATAATCTTATTTTCATAAACAGCTTGGCATTATGAGATGTCAAAGTCAGGAAGTTTTAATCTTCAGTTGTCTTTTAAAACAGCTATTTTTGAGTACTTACATAATAATCTCTATTCATCACAGAATCGCTGGGAAGAGAAAAGATTCCCTCATTCAGGACACGTGTCACTGAGCCTCAGCAGGCTGAGGTCTGTGATTCGCAGCACTTTGGTTTCTGTTTTTGCCTTTTTTTATATTTTACTAAGGAGGAGCACCCTGACTCTGCCAAGGTTCTGGGGTCAAGCAGAAAATGATTTCCCAGTTCTTGAGACCAAGCCAATTTTTCTCCCCAGGACTCTAAATGATTTCTATCTATCACGTTACGGAGGTGAAATCTGAGGAATTGCTCAGACTCACAAGGGACACACAGTACAAGCTTTTCGAATCAAGCTGTATTCCAGGCCTTGGTGATAGACACCAAGAGCCATGAAATATTACTTTCTCATAACTGCGTCATTATTCATGCAGCCGGTGAAGGATCAGCCCCTCCCCCGACATCTGAAAACTTGCTATTTGCCGGACTCCCGTTTTGTGAGAAGCAGGGTCGGCCTTGGTGTCTACATTTTAGAAACACTGGTGTCTTCATTCTCAGAATCCAAGAGCTGGGAGATGGCACAGCAGCAACAACAACCACATCCCATTTTCTGGGGATGCTGACACATTCCGATGGTTTGCCTGGTGACAGCAGACAGAGGGCTTACTGAGATCAATGTGGAAAATAAAATCTCCCAAATCAAGGGTGCCTGGGGCCTGTGAAATGCTGCCTTGGACGTGCCCTTCTGAGGTACTGTAACGAGTATGGATTTTTCCGCCTGCCGCTGCTGGTCTTGTCCCGCCGCTGCACCAGCCCCAAATAATACACAGAGACTCTGTATTAGATATTATACTGTTGGCCCGGTTACTTGTTTCTTATCGGCTAGCTCTGCCTTTAATTATTATCCCATTTCTGCTGATCTATGTATTTCTCTTACCAGGGAGCCGGCGGCATACTGCTTTCTTCAGACTCTCCATCTTGACTCCTCCTTACTACTTCCTATTTCCTCCTTGTCTCCTAGTCCCTCCTATCTTCCTTTCCTATTGGCCAACAGTGCTTTATTATTAACCAGTATGAGAAACATATACAGAATGACATCTCCCATCATCTCCTCTTTTCTGTCTAAATAAAAAGCGTTTTAACCTTAACATAGCAAAATATATCACATAACAGTTATCAAATAATCACAGTTAACACTATTTAGTCCATTAACATTTAGCAAGATTTGAAGAAAATATTCCATCATCTATCCTATCTTTGTGTGTCTAAAGTAACTTATCTTTAATACTAAGGAAAACTATAACTATCTGTCTTCAACTCCTTCAAAGACCACAGAAGGATAATATATAAGCTCTAGAAATGACAGAGACATCTTGCCTTTTCAGTCACCCGAAGTTCTTCTGTAATCTTCCATCTTCAGCCCATAGGCCATAGTGTGTCTGACAGACTCCAGTAAAGCAGAAAACTTTAAACTGTCTTCTTTATTGGCAGTTTGTCAGTCACTTTTCTCCGTGTCCTGCATACTGTCTCGAAGACTCTTCCATGAAGCAGGATCTCTGTAGCAATGACCATCTTGAATCAGGAGTCACTTTCCTGTGGGTCCTGCATGTCCAGTTTATACATCACAAAGTCAAACAGTCCAGACAAGAGCAGTATCTTGTCCAAATGGCTAGTCTTGCCATATTGGAAGCAAACTTCATAATGCATTTCTTCGATGTCCATCTTCCTTTCTGGTGCAGGTGGTATTGCCAAGAGCAATTATGTCTCACTGTCACAAAAACCCTAAACCACTTTAAATGCCATATTCTGTAGGTCTTTGAAAGGTTTGAAGAATTCCTATCTATCTCAAATACATCTCTGTGTATCTTGAAAAACCTAACTAACTTAACTCTAAGCTTTGACTATCATAGGTAATTATCTATAATCTGTACTACATTATATTTCTATATAAACACAATACCTAAACAAGAGGAGAAATACACATCTCACAAAATTGACATTAAATTGTATCAATAAATGAAAATCCATTCCAAAAGTAATCATATCAATACCATAATTCCCTTTTTACCTTTAAAAATAATTGGCTGTGATCATTACCCATTTATAACCAAGTCCATTTAAATGAAAACAAACATTTATAAACAATGTTTGGGAATTTGGGCGTCGTTCTTTCCAAACTACTTCCTGCTGACAGGGGGCACTGTCATGGGGGATCATGTAGTCTGCAAGGCTGCTTTGTTCAGCTATTTTGAATGTAGGATCACCTGGTCCTCTGTTTCAGGGGATCTGGCTTGATCAAACCACATAAGTCTGGAAGGAATCCACAGCTTTTTATTTTCTGTGGAAACAAAAATAGAAATCCTTTTCCCCAGTAACTTGTCCTTGAACTTAGATGTTGGAGTCAAAGCATTTTTTAAAATATATTAATTGAATTAATCCAGCAGCATTTCCTTTATCAGTTGTTGTTATTTTCTCAGCAGTCAAACAATGCAGAGACAACACAATAGCATACAGTAACCAGATTCTCTCTGAGCTTTTCATCTTTATGTGCCTTTATTATTACTCTGCTTATTTTACTTTTATTTTTTTTATTTTTTGACATAGTGTTTCACTGTGTAACTCTTATCTGTCCTGGAATTTACTCTGCATACCAGGTTTACTTTGCAAATCACAGAGATCTGCTTGCCTCTGTCTCCTGAGCACTGGGATTAAAGGCGTGTGCTACAACACCCAGTTCCTCTTTGTCTCTTTAAAACCATTTTTCTTTTCATGACTACGTATATTTTAAAACACACT